TGGGCACCATTTCACTCTCACGCTACAAATTACAGTCCTTGCAAATAACCCCAACTCTATTACAATCTATCCTTCCAATGGTATGTTTCCTCAAAATATTATCATACACTTTTTTTTAAAATGAGAAAGGTTTAACCTAGTTTTATGTGTTTTGTGTAGGATATGCACTATACATACTCATGCCTCTATCTAGATGAAAAAATTATGAACCGTTTTCAGTGTAGGTAGGTGTTTGTACCATAGTATTACCTCAAAGAATGGTAAGGCGTCTTTGGGTGTAACCACTCTAGGCTGCCAGTGGATGTGTTGGTTTAACTAACCTTGCTTTGCCTTTCTTCAGCCAGAAATACCTACTTTGGGACTGCACTGCTCATAATCTCTTTCCTGCCATCCACAGCAGAAGGTAGAAGTGTATGTATGTTATCCCTACACTTACTATAGGTTTAAACAAACATTTATTAGAAATTTTGTCATAGAAAGAGGTGAGGAGGTACAGAAAAGATATAGGTACTGATTGTCAACACTTTAGCCAGACTACAGCTATCTGTAGTCTGAGATGTAAATCAGAAGAAAGCAGCAAGAAGCCTTGTGAGTAATGGCTGTGGTCAGGCAGGGCTGGCACTAGGCTGAACTGAAGCTATTAGCAGCACAAGCAACGCAGACAAGTGAGAGGAGCATTCTCACCACCGAGTGAGCCGACACGATTTAGAAGCAAACTCTTCAGTGCCCTTTGAAAAGCAGCAGGCAATCACCACCTCTTTTTTTCCACACAGTATCTGTAGATTTGACTGAAATATCATGAGAACTGTGCAGTATTTTTTGTATTTTCCCATTTCGTATTTTTCCCGTACCTTGTTGTCAAGCTTTGTAACAAACTCATTTTGTCCTTATTTTGCAGGTTGGATCTATGACATCACACATAAATACGATTTTTCTTTTTACATCTCTGGCTTGCTATACATGGTGGGAATAATATTTTTGCTTATACAACCTTGTATTCAAAAGAAACAATCAAGAGAAAAATCTACGGAAGAAGCACAAGTATAGAACAAATTCCAGAAGTTCTTTTACAGACTTTTTCTGGTTTCATGTTTCTGTGGTATGACAGTATGAAGCTGTTCTTCTTATGGAACCAACCACATTGAGCTGTACTTAAGTGAAAAGCAAATGTGCTCCAAAATGCTAATAAATTTTTAGAAATGTGCTTTTAAAATTAGTTTAAATCTTTTAATTTAGAACTAACAAATGCAGCTACTAAAAGCACCCTGTTAGTCTTTAAAATTAGAACAATGCTAGGAGCCTTGCTTTTCTTCTAACTTTTCATCACTACCCATTGGTGAAACCCCATTGACTGCAGTGCAGTTACTCCTGATTTAAACTAGTCCTACAAGAGAATTTGATCAGGATAGGAATGATTTATAAAAGTCCTTCCGACTATGTTTTCTGTCTAATAAAAGATTCATTACTGAGTATGAGAAAATGATTGTTTTTCTTACCTGGATAGTAAAGTACTGTTGAAATGCTAGTACAATAATTCAATTAAGTCAGTGTATTAAAATTACTATTTCTGTGATGCAAAACTGAAGAAAGGTTCTTATATTTTTCTGAAATGATTCTCTACTTTAAAAAAATAAAATGAAAAATCCTTGAAGTATGAACTGCATAATAAAGTAGCCATCCTCAATACACAGGCTGCATTATAAACACTGTAACACTTAATGCACCTGAAGGAAAACAAACATAAAAGCAAAACCAAGTAACATACAGAAAATATTATTGTTATTCACAAACTGGAAAATGTTTCCAGACACAGTTTGAAGTTTCTGGCTGCTTTACCTAATTAGAGGTACTATAGAACTTCATAACGTTGCCATTGACTCCTTCCATGGGACTTGGTTGTCTAAAGAGAGAGAGTTGGGCAAAATTGGCCAAATAATAGTTTTAGAAAGAACTGGACTACAGCACACTAAATTTTGTTACAATTAATTTAATAACAAACCCCGTTACATTATGAACAGTCATGCTGCTGCTCGTAATGTACACCATGAACTGGTCACATTTGAGATGTTTTTTCACTAGAAAATTAGATAATGCAGAGCATGGAAGAGCTAAGGACCATTTAAAATATTCAAATAGGTTGTCTTAAACAACATTAAATGCCTGGTAATCAATACACAATGTTTTGTATAGTGGTAAAAGACATACTTTTATCAGCCTTGAGAGGTAAGCCTGATGTTAATTTTCCTATAAAATAAAGTCACTTTAGGTTTTTTCCTGTTAGCTTTATGATTTTTTCACAACAAATGAGGTTCTTAGTTTAACAGATACATGCTGCTAGAACTCTTTAAAAACAACTGATACCATCCAATTATGGAACAAATATAGGAAACAGTTCAGTGTGCAACAACATCATTATACAGATCTTTTGTTATAGCTGCAAGGTTGGTTAAAAATAAGTTCTGCACCACAACTCATACTGTTCTATATGGCAACTCACCAGCTTCTTAGTTTTGCACTTCTACAGCTGTTGGCAGGGACATACTTTAAAATAGATCACTGAAATGAGCCAAGTTAGAAAAGGAAACCCCAAACTACTTTAAGATTTAGATCAGTTCATTCATATAGGATAGTTACGTATGGCTTTGAAATTCATATTAAAACAACCGAGGTGCCAGTGAACGCAGTCAGTAATATCTTAAAATCAGCTTTTTTGTGGAGAAAATGTTCATGTAAACTACACTTTTACATCAGTTCTTTTGTTACAGGTTTAATGTCTTGGTGTGAATGCTGCTGCTATCTTAATTTAACTGAGCTGTCTTTCATTGGTGAAATACATATATATTGAAGTGATGATTTCCCTCAATTTCCTTTTTTTTTGTTTTTGAAAGATATGTACCCTTTACACTTAGATCTTCGCTTTGTCTTTTTGTCAAATCAACTTTATTTGGACATTACTGTAATGGATAATATGTTGTTCACTTACCATATCTGCAGCATTATCTTTTTATTTAAGTGCTTACTGGACCACATCATGGGAATAAACTTACATTGCCCAAAATGTCACTTTCTGTTCATTTACTAATGAAGTTAATTTTTTTAAGCCTAAAAATGAAGACTCTCCTGCAAAAATGATTGTTCTTATTTCTCCTAACAGAAAGGACAGGTACATGGTTGATCAAGGAGAAGGGGAGGTGGGCTGACAAAATAGAGTTAAATTAGGATTTTAAATTAATGTTCACTCAGTCCATATTGGCTAGCATGGCTTCTAGTTTCCTAACCTGAAACTGCCTGACTCTGTTATGAGAGCACAAGCTAAGAAAAAAATTCATTGGTGGTAAATTGACAGAAAGTGAGAAAAGAGGGTCTGTTGTTTAGTAGCTGTGTCCACATACCATAGTTCTTAAAATCATCCCTCTAAAGCAAAATTACCTTTTATAGTCTTATTACACAGAAATGTTATGAATACAGTATTCTATGGACATAATGAAATTTGTATTTATCATTGTTCTAAAAGGAAATAGTCACAAAGAAGAAAGAATATACTTGTTTCTTCTATCTAAAGATCTACAATCACCAAATGCTTCAATAATATTGGTACATAGTTAACTGTAGAACAAAATACTCTTAATATAAATTAGAAATATCTTTTAAAATAATTAAAATACGGCTTTATAAAGAAACAGAGTAACATTAAGAACCCTGTATTCATAGCTTTTAATCAATTTATAAAGTTCAAGTTTAATACTTGACAGGTTAAAAAACTGTAAACGTAATACACTCTTCAAATATTACGCTATTATATACAAATACTGCAGTCACTGTTTTAATACTCAGGTCTTAAGTCTAGTCAGTGGCAAGTGATACATTAATCAACCGGTACTTTCAGAATAATAATATTTGGCCTCTTAATTACTGAAGTTGATCGCTGGAGCAAGTTAGTCATGTCAGTAAGAACTGCCTTTATCTTACAACACTCTGAAGTAACCATTGTTACAGTCTTGTAAGATAGCACATGTCTCTTATCAAATATGCAACTCAAACAATGGAAGTCAATTAGTTTCAAAAGTTCCTGCATCAGCAACATCGAGGAAGAACTTTGCCCATACCATTCTGGCAGAGTGCCTCAAACATGATTTTCATGGATTGTCCAAGATCACAGAATGTTAGGGGTTGGACTAGATGATCTTTTGAGGTCCCTTCCAACCCCCCTGCCAGAGCAGGACCACTTAGAGTAGATCACACAGGAACGTGTCCAGGCGGGTTTTGAATGCCTCCAGAGAAGGAGACTCCACACCCTCTCTGGGCAGCCTGTTCCAGGGCTCTGTCACCCTCACAGTGAAAAAGTTTTTCCTTATGTTAATGTGGACTCTCCTATGCTCCAGCTTGCACCCGTTGTCCCTTGTCCTGTCGTTGGACATCAAAGATGAGGATGATCATTTGATCCACCCTCTCAGTCACCAAAGAAGTTTGTTCTTGGTGACAAAATTATTATTTGCTTGAAGTTTAGGTAATGAGTTTAAAAACATTTTAACACACATCAAACTCTGGAACTAGCTGCATGTTATTTGCCTATAAACATTGCAAATTAACCGTGGTGGACAGTAAGAACCTCAGCATTCATCAGCAATTTTTGCAGTAAGAAATGATAGATGGTTTTCTATAAAGGTAACAATGACAATGCCATAGCATCTGATGTAAGACATGGAGCTCGTATAGCATATTTACAAAGAGAGAAGTCAGAACGAAGAAGTACAAAGAAGTCACAATCTCTTCTATTGCTAGTAACTGTTACAATGCTGACTATAATACAATTTCAGGATGCCCAACATATTAAACATTGTATTATTTACATGTTGCTCCTAGTAAGACATATTTTGTTTTTCCTTTTTCAGTCCTTAAAATAATCTGCTTTCCTTACTAAAGAAGAAAAGTCAGTATGTCTGACCTGATAAACAGCACATCTACACCTTGTAGCAATTGCCTCAATGAAAAATATGCCTTTATTCAGTTAGCTTTTTGTTCTGAGCATCAAGTTTCTGCCTCTTCCTTCGGAGCTGCAGCTGTAGCTGAAGTCCGTCTGTGAAGAAGAATTGTTTCCAGCCCATTTCCCGGGCAAGTTCTTTCGTTTCAGGTGTAATTGTGTCACACAAGTTCTCCACAATATTTTCCCATAGCGCATTACTGTTACATATCTAGTTGTAAGAGAAAGTAGAGGCTTAAAATCATAGTTTGGCTTACACGCTGTTGATTATTTTACTACACAAAGTGTGTTTAGACTACATAGACACCTTGTATGAAGGTCACTTGCAGTGCAAGCTGAAAGACACAGCATTAGTTAAAACTCACAATGACATCAGTGGAAGTTTTGCCCAGTGTTGCCAATGAAAGATATAATATGTTCTCCAGGAAAAAATTCGAGAAGCTTCTTTTGGTATGATATCAAAGGCCTTTCTGCTGCACTAAAAGCAGCTGTAATGCCACATACTCTCCTGGTACATAATTCATACATCCCCACTGGAATCAATGAAGTTGTGCAAGATTATGCCAAAGAACTTGTCAGGAGGTAGAAATCACATCACAAATACAAATCTGTTTTCAAAGCTCGTAAAAGCAGCAAATTGCCTTTGGACTTAACAGAAAAGCAATTTTAGGAAGCTTTCAGAAGCACTGTAAGGATTAAGCCTGTTTCTCAGGAGCAGCTTCCCTCTTTCAGAATGACTTCATAAACAGAATCAGGTGGAAATACTACATTATAAACAGGAAGAAAAAAGAAAAAAAAAAAGTAATTTGGTAGATGACAGAAACACCACAAAAAAAGAATTAGGAAGATACTCTGTGTTGTTGTATATTATCTATGCATTGTAAATTATACCAAAACATAGTGACATCCATTTTCCCCCGTAAACATTCCACTCTTCTAACTGTGTAACTGCAGGGACCTAAATGAAGTTGTACTAGATTACTCCAATGCAAGTGGATGTTACATCTGTCAAGTAGTAACAGAAATAGAAAAGCAAAAGCCTTGGTATAACTTCTATTACCTACTGCTGATGTAGCTGGATACCTTAAACTATTTAATTCACTGACTACAGCAAAGCTGTATCGGAGTATATGTGGCCCTATTTTTGTTCTTGAATTGTGGGAGTGATTGTACTGCAGGCACACATAAAACATGCTAGCATATTTTAGCAAAGGAAAAGCAGGGATTATTGAGGCAAAAGTCCTGAAATAAAAATGTATGTATTTTTAAAGTTTCCTTTAAATTTCTGCTTGCTCGATGTCTCTTACCATTCTTCTATTCCTACGAAAAGTGGACTCTAACTTTAAAAATAGTGGAGACTGGTTTTTAATATCATAGATTTGTATTTCCAAATACAATGTTCGATTAAAAAAATATAGAAAGAAAAAAAGACAGTCACTGTCATTATTGCGGTTTTCTTTTCCTGCCAATGGCTTCTGACTTGCATAATAACAATTAGCTCTTCCCTTCTGTAAATCAGAACAAGCAAGCCCACGGCAGGGCAGCGCTGCCGCCCGGCGCAGAGCCTTCTCCCTTGCGCTGGGAACCAGGCTCCCTCTGGCGGGAGCAGCTTCCTTCAGCTCACAGAAAGCCGTGTTTGTCTTTTTGTAGCCTGTTTTGGCTATCTAATGACCTTGTAAAAAATAAAACTAAACGAATCCTATCCTCACCTTGTGCTGGGAGACATCATAATGTAGAGGTATGTAGACATTTCCAAAAACTATTTGGAAAACTGAGTACTGGAACGGTGGTGTCCACAGTAGGACTTCTGTACTCTGTTTCTTTTGAGATGGAGCTTCTTTTACAACATTTAAAAATAGTACCTAGTGAAAATCTAAAATACTTTGAAATGCATATTGAAAGCGTCCGAATGCTCCGGAGAGCAGGATTTACAGTCAGAGTTAGAGAAATGCCATGCTTTGTGTACCAAGGAAGATGCCTGTTCAGTTCAGCTTAGATGCATTGCACAGGATGGACGTATGGAGCCTTTCACACTCCACTTTTCAGTCCTGAGTGCAGAGACTGCTCTATTTTGTCACTGTTTGAAAATCTGAACATGCCATTTTATAATTCCACAGAAAGCAGCACTCCAGCCTACACATAAATTAGTCTGGAAATGAAAACTCAGTGGGGCAATTTTTTAGTTCCTTAAAAATACTGCTGAAATGAGAGAAAGTGAGCCTGGCATTACTAGTTGTAATAGGTTATTTCACTGTGCCAAAATCTTGTCTTCATGTAACTTAATTATTTCCAGGATTTCCTTAAATTCCAGAATATCCAAGGCTTTGTGTTAAGCTAATGAAGAGTTTACTGCTCCCCACAGTTCCTCATCTACTCCACTCACACTCTGCAAATGACAGCTGGATTCCAAATATACTAATAAATAATTTCCTGACGTCCCTTCTATCCATTCTCTTCCTCTGTTAGTTGTTTTCATTCTCTCATCCTCTACTGGTTGTTTCCCAGTCACAATATCAACTGCTTTTATCTTCAAACTGAAATAAAGCCCAGAACTCAGCAAGGTTATCTACCACCATCTGCCCGTCATCTCTAAATTCATGACATGCTCCATTTTGCTACCTTGCCATTTTCTCCTGTGCTTTCTTTACACCATCTCCTATTTCTTGTACTCATTTGAACTCACTCTCGCTAAAGCATCTATAATGTCTTTGTAGCCACACCATAGGGACAGCAGTATATCCATGTCCTCCTGAACTGTCAGCCATCTTCCACAGAACTTTTCTTGAAATCTTTGGCCACATAGCCTCAAAATAGTACAAACCCTGTGAGTAATCTCATTCTGACACAATTTGGAGATGTACTCTGTACCAGAGACGTGTCCTGTTCTCCAAACTGAAAGGTTAATCTGTCTCTCTGAAGTCTTTCAGAGAGTATCTAGCTGTCACATCAGATTCAAGATGACTAAACCTGTTTTTATCTTCCTTCTAAGGTCTCACCACTACTTATGTTTTCAGTAATGGTACAACCCATAAGTTGACAGGCTTCATTCTAGGTTCCTACAGCACCCCTGGGGATAAGAATCAAGTTATTTTTCTCTTTAATATGCTGCTTTTCCTGTTTTTCATAATCTGAAAGCCTTTTCTTCCTCTACCTGAGTTACTGTACCAGCCTTTTCTCAGGCTCTGACTGGGATAGAAAATGCAATTTTGAGGTACTCACACCCACAAAAATAAGCTTCCTAGATTACGGCTCTGGACATTTTCTCTTTCCATCCCTCCAATTACCTGATCCTGCACAGACAAGGAAGTTGAAATATGGGACTCCTTTCCAATACAGTCTAAGTTATCCTACAATTTTTCTCTTTTTGCACAAAGAGATTTGCCCTCATTCTCTTGGGACTTCCATGCTACCCTTCCCTATTTGTTACCCCTCATTCAGCACTGAGAGGCTACCCTTAGCTCCCACCAGCCAATAGTGGCAACTTCTGTTATTCACTCTTTAAAGTTTCCAATCAACACGTTAATACTATTTCCCACACTTTCCTGATAGTTAGCAAGAGCTTCCTAGCAAGCAAGCATAATGTCATCTCTTTCTCCTTCTGTGTTTCTTATAGTTCCTTGCTGTGAGGTCTAGAAAAATCTTGAAAAAAATAAAAATACCTTTCCTTGTGCTCCCGTCTTTTGTCAAAGACTTAAAATGTAAGCTCTCTAGGAATGGCAATGATTTTTTGTTTGTTAGTGAGTCTAGCATAAGGGGATCCTGGTCCATGGTTACACGTTACAATAATACAAATCATAATGCAAAGCATAGGCTTTATATGGCAAGTACTTAATCCTGGAAGTATTGCATAACACCCAACCATGGGTTACAATGGAATTATCTAGATCACTGCATTTCTTATATGCAACAAAAGTTTGCAGGATAGGCACAATCTCTCTAACAGCCTTTCTAAGATCCAGTTTTTATTGCACCCATACAGTTCTTTGTATACAGATGATTGATTTGTTGTCTCAAACTTTAAGTAAAGCAGACAGATTGATGATTATATTAAACATGAGATGAATCAAGACCAACATGCTGCACAGCAAAGCTAACAACTTGAAAATAATTTTTTTTTTTTTTTTTTTACCATTTCAAATCTCCGTGAAACTTCAGAAAGCCTGGCAATATCTTCAAGCTCCAGAAAGGAAATGATGTACAGCAGTTATGGGACAAGAAGCCGTTCCAGGAAGTCATAGTTATCTCGGCACAGATTGAGGACATGTTCCAGAACTTTGGCACCAAACACTATAGCAATCTGAACTGGGATTAAAAAAAAACAACAAACCACCCAAACCAACCAACCAACAACAAAAAAACCAAACCACTTGTATAATGCCAAGTACCTTCTGCACTTGGTGTCATGTATGTTAAATCAGATTGGGAATCCAGGTGGCTCATGACAAGGCCATAAAAACAAATGTGCTGGCACAGAGCGCTAAAAGGACTGAGTTACTAGGAACAAAAATAATTGCTTTCTGACCTACTTTTGTTGCTAATACCTCTTATAATGAAACTATCAGTGTTGCTGGGATTTATCCTATATTTACATTTACTATCATGTCTTTTTGTTTTTCCAGTATTCATACATTGATTTATATTAAGAAATGCATACAAAAAAGCCTATTAGCCAAAGCAATCACATCTTTCATGAAAGTTATTACAGATCAATATTGCTACATTATTCCATTATATGCCACAGCAAATTTGTAATTATTGTCATCTTACTATGAAGAGATTAATCATTCAAAAAATCCTCATGGGATTCTTTAATTTCTCCAGGTCTTGATTCACGATATTTACTCCTAGGTGAGATTTTCCACCATCTGAAAATTACCTACAATTGTGGAAGAAAAAGAAAAAAGGAAAAAGAAATTAATATAGAGTACCATGAGATAAATACATTGCTAATTGTTGTGTAAATATTACTACATTTCCAAAACAAAGTTATTGTAAGAGATCAGACTATGGTTACATTAAGAGTGTCCCTACAACATGATTCAAAGGACAATAAACATTCCAATATGCACCTGGACAAGTGTGAAATATTTTTACGTACAAAGAAAATGTTCCTAACCCCTGCGTGCAAATTGTTTGCAGAAATTAAAACACGTTTAATGACATTGCAACTTGCAAAACTATAAACACTCTCTTTTTGTTTTTCATTTAGTCACAGAAGCACAATTCATCAGGCATTAAATTATGTGGTTAAGAAGAAATACCCATTCAACTACTCAGGCATTCAAAAGTGACAGTATTAGAAGTTAAAGTGTCATGTTAACATTTTGTTAAAATGAAAACTAATAGGACAGTTCAAAGCTCAGCACTTAGACTGTCTGAAAACTCTGGAAAAAGCTCTCCAGAAGCACACATTCAAATCCCATTTTCACAGTCAGAAAAAGAAAAGAAAGCCTGCATTACAAAGCATGCAACTGAGACAAAAGATTAATACAAATAGTTAATTATGTAGCTATGAAATGATGGAGAACAAGTGGCCCCAGCTATCAGTAATTTTCCCAGAGTTCTCTCAAAACATTACATATGTGATTGGACAGTGTGTCAGCTTTTAATACTGACTTTAGTTTTGTTGCTGTCACAGCTGGGTCTACAGGAGAGGAAAGTCATAATCATGTCTCTTCCTTCATGCAAGTTGCTGGCAAAGATCACATTCCAAGACAAAAGCAGGATTCAGTTGCTGTGTAGTCAAGGTTAAATTAAAAAAAAAAACCTTGTAATCTTGCTAATATTAATCTAGTTTATTTTCTTCCATTTCATTAAGTGAGGATTTTACACTGTTATAGGTGGGTTTCTGACACGCTGATAAAACTGACAAATGAGAATATTATTGAGGTGTACATTTATGAACACACACACACACACACACATATATATATATAAAAATACACTCCATAGAGTCTTATTTTTTTCTACTGGCATGTAGAACAGGAAAATTAAAAGCAAGCCTTGAGTTAACTGTCAGTAAGCCACAGATTACTCACATGTACTGACTGAAGAATACAGAGTTAAATTTATCATTACAAATCTTAGATCTGACAACAGTGGTTTATATCTCTCAACATGAAATTTAACTTAAGATCACTCTGGTATTTCAGTGTCAAAATGTAGATTTTAAAGTTCAGAGTTACAGATACTTAGTTCTTCTCAATGAGTTGCATTCACCAATAACTTCTGTATTTTTCAGGTCTTGCTTGTATCCTGTTGATCTCCAACATACCGTAAACAGTAAATAAGTTCGAGTAAAGGCTTAACATCAACATTTGAATGTCAAATATAGTCAGCTAAAATTTATCATTTTTGTGTCTCTTCTGGCTAATATATCATTATATGGGGTAACTGGAATTACTAAATCATATTTCTGATAGCATATATACAAAATAGTTTCAATTAACTCTTAGACATATCCAGAATACTGTGGAAAATAACCCTTACTATGTGAACAGAAGAAAAAACATCCTACTCGGATGCATAAATTCATCCTATTTTACAATGACACACACAATCTTCACTCCTTTGCAGTGAAATAGTTGCCTCTTTAAAGGCAAAAACCCCCATTCATCTGATCTGCATTCTAGAATGGAATATATGAAAAATAAGTTAGACCACCGAAACATTTTATAATAGCAGAATTAACATTTCTGTAATGTACATGCGCAGTATAGACCACCACATTGCTAAAATACCACCACTTAATAGACGAGTGGTAATATGAAGATTAAATGAAAAAGAGATTATAAACAACTTGTCATTGAGTTTCAGTGATAATCTCACTACCTGGGAAGGCTTTAGAAATAGTATGTTTGTAGCCCACCATGGGGATAATAGGACAGTGAATGCTGTGCTGTACTGTACTTCCAAAAGCTCTTTTTATCTCTAGCAACATAGGGAGAATCCACACATAAAGTTACTTCCATTTTCATTTGTGCAAAACATGAGGTGAGAATAAGGTCAAAACAAAACTACATGTTCCTCAGCTTGGATATCCTTCAAAACGGTATGCAAGAATAAGGTATATTATAGGGAAAAAACCATTGTTAAAGGAGAAAAGAAATCTGGTTAATATGCCTTCTCTTGGCCTTTTCATGTTGCTGTTTGAAGTGCCACTCCTTTAAAAAAAAAAAAAAACAAAAACCACAACACCCAAAAAACACTTCTCAGCATGGAAATGCCAAGTGTAACTGAAAAAAGAAAGTAGCCACCTGCCCACCTGCCCCCAAAATCACTTAACAAAAATGATTAATGATGACTACCCAACAACATTCCTCAGGTTAATCTTCTGTATAACTGTATAGATTTAACTATACACAAATGTAGAAGTCTAATTCTTAAAAAAGCAGAACTATGTTGTACAAAAGCTTGTAACGTTGTGATCTGTTACGAAATACATGAATAAATACTTTTCAGCCTAGGATATACGGTAGAACAAAATTAAGTGTATACAGATAGCAGATGCTTGCCTGAATTTTGCACTGGTGCAAGCAAGACTAACTTTTCAGTTAGTATTGATACTTTTTGTTCAGTATTTTGTGGGTACGATTGTATTTTATCTATAATATAAGTTTATGTATACACAGGTGTACAAGAACATATTTAAACTAAACACTAGAGTGAATATGCGTGTATAAGATCTTGTGTAAGATTTTATCTTTATACAATCCAACCAACCCTAAAATAGAACACTAAGTCAATACTCTACAAATGAAATACCTCCATCCTAATTTTAAAGCCATTAAGTAGATGTTTTAACAGGGTTATACAAATTTACTTTCTTGTATTCTTGTAAAATTATAAATGCCAAAGCATTTTAATACTGACTTCAAAAAATTAGAGAAATACATATTTCAATAAACTCTCCTCCTCTTAATTGTTACACTAGGAAGCACACTGCAACAAAACTATCTGCCAGAATGGGAAGATCAGGCCAGCATGCAGAGGCACAGGAAAAGCAAAATATTCAAGTAATTATATTAAACGCCACTGTATATTTTCTAAACATTATTCTTTCATTTACAGTGGAGCAAACTGTCAATAGCACTATTCCATTTAAAAACTTCCTTAATGTACAAATACCCAGGACAAAATACAGTTACCTTGGTAATTTGTTAGCACATGGTTATTTCAAAGAAAAATATTGCATAGATTTTGTAATACCTATACTTTTTGCAGAGATTAAAAAGATGAAGAATGGAAAGTACTCTAATTCTGGTTACCATGGACACATTTCATTCCCAATGTTATTTGGAGGTGCCTATGTTAAAGCAATTCACTACCACATTGCTTATTCCATTGGCATTTCTTCGTAAAAAAAAAAAAAGAGAGAAGAGGAAAGGATGAGCAGAACCAAATCTAAACAGCAGCAACCAGCCAAGGCTTCAGATAAAAAGTCGTACCAATTTTTTAGACGAATAAAACAACTGAAATATTTAAGTGGAAGTTAGCAAGAAATAAACTATTTTGGAAGAATCTATTGTCAAAATTAATCTGGACTGTAGATTAACAGAAGCATAGTACTATTTACATTGTATGAGAAAATAATGTCTGAAGTTTGTCATATGGTAAGCCATCTTCTAAGGATGCTGGGCTCCACCTTCCCTTAATTTAATCTAATTCACAAGTTGTACAACTAGAGACAAGTCTCACGTGACAGACTCGTACTGTATCATGAGAAACCTCTGGGGGAAGCTGAAAAAGGTGTGAATTGCAAAGCCCTGTTACAAAGGCACATATGTTTCCTTCTCCAATATAAATTTTTAGGATTTCAAACTTCTCCAGACTCAGCTTTCTGCTTTCCTTAAAACTAGTAACTCAAAATATAATTTCTCAGATTACAGGTTATTTGGAAATTAATTTTCCCTATTTTTCTCTTAATTTGTTCTACTTCAAGTAGTTAGACATTCATTGGAGAAGGAAGGTGACTCCAGAATTTAGAAAACAGTGCTTGCAGAGGTTTAGGAGATCCAGATTAAAATATTTTCCTCTGTCCCAGATGAAAATGGCCTAAATCCCCAGTCTTTCTTTTTGGCCCTGGATTTGTCACTGCAGTCCGAACACTCATTCCCCTGTGCAGTAAAGGAGCCATTGTGTCTTCTACTGAAAAAAGCAGTCACATTCTCAGTTAGTCTTAGTGACTTTACCTCTACTAAATCCCTTCTCACAGGCTGCTTTATCCCACAGTCTATTACTTTTGCATAGATATTTTTAAAAAATGAATCTCTGCTTTTGGCTGGGTTTTGTGGATTCAAGGAGTCTATAAAAATTTACGTTGCCTTACTATTTGATTTCAAAATTAGAGTATTCAAATGCTTCTGTCCCTCATTTTGTCTCATTTTCTCTTGCATAATATCGTTGCATTTTTGCTGCAATTTCAAATAAATCTATTATTTTTAAAGCATTCCATTTTCACACACCTCAGTATAGAAACCACTCATGTCACCCTCACATAAAATAAGTGGAATAAATATCAGCATTATTGAAACATCTTCAGGGAGATAACTGTAAGACAGATGTTCCTAAAGCTATGATCTGTATACCTAAATCTTTCAGTTAACTGTTCGCTTGGAGCCAGTACCAGCTAATCAGTTGCCTAAGTTTTTAAACCTAAGCTCAATTTCCAAACCATCACTTAAAATTCTGAAATTAATTAGCACAGTGAAGATGACCAGCTTATCTGCTTCCTTCATCTTTCTAGTCCATGTTAATGTAGATGCAATTTTACTTATGAAAAAGCACTTCTCCTGACATAGCTTTTTCTACCCTTATTCTAACATAGCCACATCTAATTGAGAAGCTGATACTATAGTCCTGTAAAGTTCTTCACAC